CCCCTGCTACCACACTGAAGTCACCCAAGCAGGATTCAGAGTGGCTCAGGGCTCTGATGCCCCGACAAGGCTAGCGGTCAGCAGGGTGGCAGCGGGGCCATGCCCAGTCCCTTTGGCCTCCAAGGCTGCCGGTTCTGGAGAGCAGCCGAGCCTGACTGGAAATACCTGGAGGAAGGGCCAGTGGGAGGGGAAGGGCAGAGGTGGATTGATCCACAATGCAAATTGCCAAAAAAGGAGAGCATTCTTTCTCTTCAAGTAGGGAGTGCTTGAGGTCCTTTGTAGGAGTCCCAAGCTGGCAGGAGGCAGTCAAGATGATTCAGAAAAGGCTTTTGAACGGTGGTTTGCAGCCGAGGGTGGCTTTGAGTGGGTGTTCCTGGGGTCTGAGGTCCCTCGTGGGTGGACTGGGGCTCCGCACACAGGCTCACATTCCCTCAAGAAAGGACCTCTCTGGTCCTTTGGGCTAGTAAGAAGATGGTGAAGCTGGGGAAATTTATCTGTGGCTTCCTCCAGCCTCCTCTAGCCTGGGAAGCCCCACTCCTTCGCCACTCTGAAAAAAAAAAGTTAAAAAAAGTGTCAGATTGATTTTGTATTGGTAGCCGTATTTGGAATGCAGAGAGGCTGTTCCCACCCCCTCTCCTCTGCTCAGATAATTCCTGGAGCCTTGGGTTGGCTTTAAGTAGCACGTTCTAAGGGGAATGTTGAAAAAAAAAAAAAAAAGAAAAAATGCATCTTCAAGGAAAGGATATTGGCCGGTTAAGAAACTTAGAGTTATTGCAAGAATTTGAAGGAGGAAATGAGAACATTTCACCTTGATAGGAGATAGTGCCTTCCAATGCTGTGGATACTTATGGCTGCCGGTGTATGTGGGGCTGTGAACATGGCAAGAAGCAAGAAGATCCCAAGCTCAGGGGGTTAGTTTGCCTAATGGGGGACACAGACAGATTTATGCTCTCTGGGCAAACTCTTCCATCCTCATCACTTCCGTGACCATTTATTTGAGAATAGTGCCCACAATTTATATCTCCAGTCGTACCAGTCAGAATAGTCTAGGTTGTGCTGAGTAGCAAATGGCCCTAAAATGTCGTGTCCTAACACAATAGAAGCTTATTTCCTGCTCACACCGCATGTCCAGGACAGGGCATCGGGGGACTCTGCTCAATGTGATCGCTCAGCGACCCAGGCTGATGGGACGTTTTCCTCAACACATGTGTCCACGGTCATTCTTATAGTGGAAAGAGGTGTGACAAATCACCCACTGACTTAAAGATTCCTTACAGCCCAGAGATTCTAATCATATTAGCAAGGACTTAAAAACTTCAAAGTCCTCCTAACATCCAAAGCTATGAACCTCGGATGTTTGGATTTCAGAACACATGACAGAAATGGTGGGATTTGGCAGGAGGGGTACATTGTTTTGAACTAGCACATCTTTGTTAAGTCGTTGACTCATCGGGCTCTGCTTTCTCCCTCTTTTCCATAGCTCTTGACTTGTTGAGGAAGTGAGGTTGTGTCATGTCTTCCTTCCTCCTTTAAGAGGTTAGCTGCTTTTTTTGATCTGCATTAAAATCTAATACACTCAAGTTCAAAGAGGAAGAGGCAAATGCCGCAAAAGTTAGGAATATATTTAGTGTCCCGAGTTTGCCCATATTCAGCCTGATATATTTTGCTTTCTCTACGTGTTTTCCGCCCGAAGATAGAGATTCCCATTCTGATTGGTGGCTTGAGGGTGTCATTAGATCCTCATTAAAGACAGATGCTGTTGGGTGGGCTTTTCAGTGAGAGTTGAACAGAAAGCTTGTTGGACTTCTTCCTCTGGAGTTTCATCTGACAAGATGTTCTCTGGAACCCCACACTCTTTCAGGGCCCTTGGAATGTTGAGACACAAAAGACCTCGCGGATGATTTTATCCAGCCTTTGTAGTGGTGGAACTCAGGGCCTGGGGCCACGTAGGTTTATAGGGGAAGAGTAGAAACACAAACCCTGAATTCCTGAGTTCCAGATTCATGCTCTTGTGGCCATGCCATCCCACCAGTATCACCTGTTGACTTACACCTGATGTGGTCCAGCACTTGTGCACAAAATGCGGAAGGCCATACCAAATGACGTACAGTTTACAACATTAGGTTTTTCTGTCTTCTCAGTTTTTACTTTTTTTATTTAAAAACATTTTTTAATGTTTATTTATTATTGAGAGACAGAGAGAGACAGAGCATGAGCATGGGAGGGGCAAAGAGAGGCAGAGACACAGAATCTGAAGCAGGCTCCAGGCTCTGAGCTGTCAGCACAGAGCCTGACGCGGGGCTCGAACTCACAGACCGTGAGACCATGACCTGAGCCGAAGTTGGACGCCCAACCAACTGAGCCACACAGGTGCCCCTTAGTTTTTACTTTAAAAAAAAAATGGTTATTTATTTTTGAAGGAGAGAGAGACAGAGCATGAGCAGGGGTGCAGGAGGGGAGGGTTCGGCAGAGAGAGAGAGGGAGACCCAGAATCCAAAGTGGGCTCCAGGCTTTGAGCTGTCAGCACAGAGCCCAAGGCGGAGCTTGAACTCATGACCCATGAGATCATGACCTGAGCTGAAGTCATACACTTAACTGCTTAACCAACCGAACCACCCAGGCGCCCCTCAGTTTTTACTTTTGAGTGAAACTTCTTAAGATTTGCTCCAATAATCAGTGTAAACCTCCTGCTCACCCAAGCCCTCCCTTTCCTTCCAGTGGCCTTGTTTAAGCAGGGCGGTGGCCACACCTGGCCAGCGCACCTACTCGCCACTCTTCTCCTTTGCTCCTTCAGAATCCCTGGCAATTTCCGTCCCCGGTACCCAGAGACCTGCTTGAGCAGGACTTACTGCTGTGGGAGGAAGGGGAAGGGGAAGGGGAAGGGGAAGGGGGGGAAGGGGAAGGGGAATCCTCTGCTAAACCTTCTGTGGGTGCTTGTTGGCATCATGGGGCTAGAGGCTGAAGGCCCAGCACTCAGGCCAGTCCCAGCCCCTGCTCTAGTTCTGCCCTCCAGGGCGATGGATCTGAGAAAAGAGATGGGAAGAGATGCTGCCACTCTGGGCATGCCGAGGGGCTTTAATGTCCCAGTACAAGTATCTTGGGGACACTGGAGAAGTCGCTCCATGAAAGCCAGCCTCTGCTTCCCAAGTAGGCACACGCTCAGCAGGTGTGGGCGGGCTTGGGCCTTACCCCTTCCGTCTGGCTGACTTGTTTCTCTCTCCCGGGATAAGTCGCCCACTCTTTCTTTGTGTCTCTCTCTCCCTCTGTCCTTGTTCTGCTCCAGCTTCCCACTCTCCTTGTCTCCGCCTCTGCCGCAACCCCACTCCTTTCTTTATTTCTGTGGCTCCTTTAATTGGCCATAATTAAGAGCCAAAGCCTATTATTCATAAGTTAATTGGTTGAATAAAAAATGTAACTTTCCCATTCATAACTTAAAGACTAGAAAGTGGAACAATATACATTTTTCCCTTAAACCCTAATTTAAAGGCAATTTAATCTATATTGCCCTTGATTGAGCTCCTCCCACCCTTTGAATCCGTGTCCATGAACACAGAATTGCTCCTCTGCACCCCGTGTGAGCCCGTGTGTGGGCTGAGGTTCTGCCTCTCTGAAGTGTTGGCGCTAGGAGGCAATAATGTCTCTAGAGGAATGTGGGACTCTGACAGGGATGAGACCCCCAGCCTACACTGCTCCCTCCTCTCCAGGAGGGACTTCCTTCTCTCCTCAGGGACTCTGATCAGTCCCTGAATGCATCTTAAGCATCCAGTCTGGCAGGAAGGGGTGGAGATTGGGTAGAATGGCCCCAGTTTAGACATGGGCTGCATCCACCAACCCTCTGAGCTGTTCTGGGAGCTTGGGGGCCCAAGGCCAGCTGTCCAGCCCACAAGCTCCATAGACCCCAGGCATGGGCAGGGGAGAAACAGGGAAGTACAATAAGAGTAACAACAGCAATAGTACTAGCAAATTCTTACCAAGAGCCAGGCATTTTTATAAGCACTTTAAAACATTTAACCCACGTAAACCTCATAACAACTTTGACATAAGCAATATGATCTTCATTTTACAGAATGGCAAACTGAAGCACAAAGTAGGGTTGCCAGGTAAAATACAGAATGGCCAGTTCAATTTGAATTCCAGAGAAGCAGTGAGTAATGTTTTAGTATAAGTATGTCCCAAATATTGGGTAGGACATACTTACGCTAAAACGTTATTCATTGCTTATCGAAAACTCAAATTTAACTAGGAGCCCTGTGATTCTGTTGGCTAAATCTGGCAACCCTAACACAGAGAGGTAAAGAAACTGGCTTAAGGTCGCATGACTATAAGTGGCAGAGCCAGGATTCCAACCCAGTCTGGCTCCAGAGGCGAGTCCTTAATTAGTTCATGTTGCTACCTCCATCATCCCTGGACCCCCCTTTGCTTTGTTTAGGTGTCTTCATTTTAGCTGGGCTCAGCCTCTACACTGAGGAGTCTAACGTGGACCTCCCTTCCCTACATGGTGCCAGCTGTCTGCTATGCCATTCCTTAGCCACACTTTCTGTATCTTCCAGAAGCATAATTGGGTATCATTCCATTAAAATCCATTTACTCAACCCTTAGGTATTGAACACCTACTATGTACAATACTCTCTGCTAAAGTGGCTTTGGCTACCAGGTTAATTCTAGAAAAGGCTGGCACAGTCCCTGGAAGCACTTCTTCTAGATACCTCCAATATGACCCTGAGTGAAGGTTTAATATGCTCCAGGCAACTCTTACGCAGCCATTTTCAATGGGGGGGCCTTGAAACCGTGTCCCCATGTTTGTTTTCTGCTCCATGCAAGTGACTCTCCTAGGGTGACCCCCAGGCTTGGTAGGATGGGAGGGCCATGCTTTTGGATGGGGGGCAGATAGGGGAGTGTTGGGGCCTCTGAGGGCCTGTCATTTTGCAGCCCAGGACTGCTCTTTAATGAAACCTTTCCTAAGAGACGTTCCTAAACTCTCCTCATTCCCCTTCCTACAGGTACTACTTTCCATGCCAGCGCTGGCTGGCAGTGGAGGAGGATGATGGCCAGCTGTCCCGGGAGCTGTTGCCAGTGGATGAGTCCTATGTGCTGCCCCCGAGCGAGGATGAGGGGGCCGGGGGAGGTGGTGACAACAACCCCCTTGACAACCTGGCCCTGGAGCAGAAAGGTTTCCTAAACTAGAGCTGGTTTCTTCCCTCCAGCCTCCCTCCCTCGGTCTCCATGTTCCCTTCCCCTGTGGGTTCTGAGCAACCCCTCCTCTGGCAGTGTGTCTGTACCGCCCTTATCCCTCCATGGCCAGAATGGGGAGGTGAGGAGACATATTCCCACATGCCTAGCATAAGGCTGGGTATAAAGCACATGACTAGGCATGGAGCTATGGTCAGGAATGGAGTGGAATGAAATAGGACAGGATGAGATGGAATGGAATGGAATAGAATGGAATATAGAACGGAACGGAATGGAATAGAATGGAATGGAATAGAATAGAATAGAATAGAATAAGAATAGAATAGAATAAGAATAGGTAGGGTTAGTTCTGTGTTCTCCCCTCCAGACACACCATAAGCCCTCAATACATTTTTGTCAAGGGAAAGAATGAACTTTCAAGAATTCTAGGATGCTTCCCTTCCTTGAAACTTACATCCCTAAAACTTCCCAGTGGAGAAGTCAGACCAGGCTCCTGGCTGATGAGCCTCCGACTCTCAGTCACCCCAAGTCTCCCCTAAACATCCTACAACTCTACTAATTGAGAGATTCCTATGTGAGCTGGAGGCGGGGAGACCTCATCTCTGCCTTGAGGAAGTTTCCAGACTACAGGCAACTGCAGAACAACACATGCTACAAGTAAAGGGATTCCTAGAAATGGTCACCACGCATGTAGAAATGTACTCAGTACGTTTTCTCCCTCCTCCCTCCACGAGAGGGGCAGTCTACCACTCACTTCTCCACACTCCTCTCCCTGCAGACAAATCTACCACATTCTCAGTGACCGTAAAGACTGGGGACAAGAAGAACGCAGGCACAGATGCCAATGTCTTCATCACGCTCTTTGGCACGCAAGACAACACTGGTAAGAACGCAGCATGGGGCCGAGCGAGACTCACCCACATTCCTCCCCGGGGAGACTAGGAGACTCAGCAGAACTTTCCAAGGAAATCCTGGTCATGCCTCTGTTTTTCTCTCTTCAAAGAAAATAATTGAAGAATTCCCCTGTGTTGTTTTACTTTATTTTATTGTTTTATTTATTTTATTATTTTATTTTATTTATTAAGAGCACTTAACATGTGCTCTATCCTCTCAAATTTGAAATGGATAATGCATCACTGTCGACTGTAGGTATGGACTGTATGGCAGGCCTCTGGAGCTCATTAATCTTACTAACCTGAAAGTACGCTTGTTGCTTAATAACTCCCCATCCTCTCCTCTCCCCAGCTCCTGGGAACCACCATTCCAGCCTTTGATTTTATGAATTTGGCTATTTTGGATACTTGGTATAAGTGGAATCATGCTATATCTGTCCTTCTGTGTCCGGCTTATTTCACTCAGTGTAATGTCCTCAGGGACCATCCGCATTGTTGCAGATTGGAGAATTTCCTTCTTTTTTAAGGCCAAAGAGTGGTCCATTGTATGTATATATATATCAACATTTTTTTCTATCTTTTCATCAGTTAATGGACATTTAGGGTTTTTTTTTCCCCACATCTCAGCTATTGTGAATAGTGCTGCAGTGAAATGGGAGGGCTAATATCTTTTCAAGATCCTGATTTCAATTCTTTTGGATATATACCCAGAAGTGGGATTGGTGGGTCATATGGTAGTTCTATTTTTAATTGTTTAAGGAACTTTCCTACTATTTTCCATAGCAACGACGCCATTTTGCATTCCCACCAACTATGTACGAGTGTTCCAATTCCTTCACATCCTCACCAACAGTTGTTGTCTTTTCATTTTTGGTGGCAGCCACCCTGTCAGGTGTGTGGTGAGATCTCGTTGTGGTTCTGATTTGCATTTCCCTGATGCTTAGTGACAATGAGCATTTCGTTCATATACTGTTGGCCATTTGTATGTCTTCTTTGGAGAAATGTCTGTTTACGTCCTTAGCCCATTTTTTAATTGGGTTATTAGCTTTTTATTATTGAGTTGTAGGATATTATGGTAATGAACCCCTTATCAGATATATGGTTTGCAAATATTCTTTCCCATGCTGTAGGTTGCCTTTTCATTCTATTGATCGTTTCCTTTGCTGTGCAGACTTTTTAGTTTGATGCAATCCTCCTTGTTTATTTTTTTTTAATTTTTTAATGTTTGTTTATTCTTGAAAGGGGGGTTGGTATGAGCAGAGGAGGGGCAGAGAAAGGGAGACACAGAATCCAAAGCAGGCTCCAGGCTCCAAGCTGTCAGCACAGAGCCGGACATGAAGCTCGAACTCATGAACTCTGAGATCATGACCTGAGCTGATGTCAGACGCTTAACCGACTGAGCCACCCAGATGCTTCCTCCACTTGTTTATTTTAGTTTTTGTTGCCTGTGCTTTTGGTGTCATATCCATGAAATCATTACCAAGACCAACGTCACAAAGCTTTTCTCCTATGTTTTCTTCTAGGAGTTTTACAGTTTCAGGTCTTATGTTTAAATCTGTATCCATTTTGGGGCTCCTGGGTGGCTCAGTAGGTTGAGTGTCCAACTTCAGCTCAGGTTATGATCTCGCAGTTCATGAGTTCGAGCCCCACATCAGGCTCTGTGCTGACAGCTCGGAGCCTGGAGCCTGCTTCGGATTCTGTGTCCTGACAGATTGCATGCAACTAGTGCTGTTGGAGGAAGGCATATTCCCTTTTTCTTAAAAATCTCCATGCGACGTGACTTGTCTACCTGGATAGTAAACATTGGTTCCTTTAGAGATTCTTCCTAAAGCTTACTAAGCCGGTTCTCCTGTACACCAGGGGGCAGAGAGCCCCCTGTCCCCTCTCCCGTCTTCATTCCTCTGTCTACCACCTCAGAAGTGTTTGGAAGCCATATGCATCCTCTTCCCTTCAGCGTCCTCTCCCTAAGTAATGGTGCCTGATCCTATGGTCATTCTTTCTCCAGGCCTTCCTGAAACTTTTTTGCCATTTCTTGTACTCTTGCTGGAGGCATCACTCTGTTTACCTTTTAAAACCACAGTGAAGGGCCTCCCAGTCCCAACAGTGACTGGTCTCTTCTCCGTGACTCCTGCCAGCTTTCTTCTTCTGTTCAAGGCTGAGACCCCAGGGAGCACGGGGCTAGTTTTGTCCCTGGCTTCCTCTGCATGTAGAAAAACGTGGGGGATGTGGAGGCACAGTCAACTGACTTAGGACCCCACCACTTTCTCCTGGATGGTCTTGAATACGGTACTTCACCTCGTGGTGTGCCTCCTTTTCTTTAGATACAAACTGGAAATAAAAATACACACCTTGAAGGCTAATTACAAAGCTCACTAAAAAGACACACACACACACCCCAAATTGTTAAATGTGCAAAGGTTCCCGGTGGATAGTAATTGCATGCTCTAAATTTTATGAGAGTTAGAAAAATTTGGTCATTATGAGGAGGGACCCAAAGGGGTAGTCCAGCTCGGTTTAAAGGTCTCAGGTTCAGCCAGTCATATGGGGGCCATTTGGTTGACAGGAATGACCCTCCTGAAATCCTCCAAGACCAACAGCGACAAGTTTGAGAGGGACAGCATCGAAATCTTCACCGTGGAGACGCTGGACCTGGGAGATCTGTGGAAAGTCAGGATTGGCCATGACAACACAGGTCTGGCTTCCCTCCCCCTCTGTTTTCTGCTAAGAATATAAGGCCCACACACAGGTCCCTGTGGGTCTGGGAAAGAATACGCAAGAAACTTGAATGTCATCTGCCTTCCACGATGACACAACTTCCTCAAACCCTTCAACCCAGTGGAACCCTAGCTGCACGCAGAATATTCTGGTCTCGTTGGCCTGGGCTGGGGCCTGGACACCAGTGACTTCCCAAAACCCCTACTCTCCGTGGTTGCACTGTGCACCCACCTTTGAGAATCCCCAGTGTAGCTCAGTGGTTCTCTGACCTGAGAACCAGGAGCTCCTGACAGGTTCTGTTGCTTAACAGAACCACTTCGGGGGGTTGTTAAACATAGGTTTCTGGGCCTCATCCACGCAGGCGTTGATTCAGTAGGTCTGGGGTGGGACCGGAGCATTTCTGCTTCGCACACATGAGGCTGCTGGTCTGGGGACTCCACTTTGAGAACCATGGATCTAGTCCGTTCTTCCCAGAAGCCACTGACACTACAGCCAGACAAAGTTTGTTCTCTTAGTGAAGTAGGACATGTGTTCTTGGTCTTTAAGTATTTTAAGGCTAGGGAAGGAGGCCACCTTCCCAGCCCCTGGGATGGAGAGACGGGTTCTCTGCTCAGCTCCTACTTCCTTCTTTAAACCTGATCGCTCATTTTTCCAGGGAAGACCCTCAGTCCTTCACAGACTTCCCTTTCCTTCATGCACCACAAACTGGCAGGAATGACCCTCCTGGAATCCTCCAGGACCAAAGGCCAGAGAGCTCACAGTGTCATCCTTGTCGCTGGGTGAAATGACAAAATCCCCATTAATACGAGTTCTCTCTGGCATCTCTGAGCTCCCTTTTTAGAGTGCCTTCCACCCTGGACAGTGTGCTTGCCGTCACCTCCTGTCACCTCTTCCCCAGGCTCCTTTGCTCTTGTTAATTTCCCCGACAGCAGCCTGGAGTGTGACCCAGCTTCAGCTGGGTGCACATTTCAACAGGAGTCATTTAGCAATGCTATCAGGGAAAGGAACCGCGTGGGCACGGGTGCAGCTGTAGACGTCAGCCACGGGCAGGGGAGCGTGTCTGGAGTGGCTGAGGTCACCCACAGTAAACCATCTGTGTAGAGCTCCATGGTGGGTTCCGTGTCTCCTTCTCTGCAGGCAAGGCTCCAGGCTGGTTTGTAGACTGGGTAGAGGTGGACGCCCCGTCTCTTGGAAAGTGCATGACATTCCCCTGTGGCCGCTGGCTGGCGAAGAATGAAGACGACGGTGCCATCGTCAGGGACCTCTTCCACGCGGAGCTTCAGACGAGGCTGTACACACCATGTAAGAACTGTGCACGGCATGGCTGACCCTCTTCCCAGACCCCATCGCCCACTACCCCGTCTTGGCCCCAACCCCTCCTCCAGCCCCGACCCCAGGCCAGGTGTACCTCCTCTCCCCAGTTCCCTGGGCCTTGCGTGGGCTGTGGGCAGTGCCCTGGATCCACGGTAAGGAAATAGAGAATTTAGTCCCACCTCCACCCCAAACCAGCTGGTGACAACAGGCAGAGAGCCTGGCCTCTCTGGGGCTGTTTCCTCATCTGCAAAATAGAGATAATAATACAACATGGTCATAAGACCCAAAAGGGAAGAAAGACAAAAGTCTAACTGTGAGAAGTCATATGGGCCCCATCACCGGTGTTCAGTCCAGTCAGTAACGTGACCAAGAAATCACCGCTGTAAGATTTTATCCTGATTGGGAGTGGAGGGTGGAGACTTGAAAAGATGATAAATGTAGGCCTCTCACCAGCTAAAGCAGGGGAGGAAAGGGAACAATTTGGTGAAGTTTTGACACTTCCTTTCCAGTGTCATCAGAAATTATGGATTAAACGTTCATTTACATGTAGGACATACTAGGTACTGAGAACCAAACTGAAATCAACCAAACTATAAAAATCTGTTTAAATGTGCTAAAATCAGAACCAAACCCAGAGAATATAATTTTTTTTCTAACCAAATAATTAGCTATACCAAAAGATTTCCCCCAAACAGCTCATAATTACATGATATGATTCAGTGATGACTTTTTTTTTTTTTTTTTTTTTTTTTTTTTTTTTTTTGCCTAAAGCAATTAAACTGGAAATGACCCGATCCATCAAGATATTTTCTGGTCCAAAGCCTGAAACAAAGTGACATTTCCCTCTAGTAAAATCTCTGCATATACAAAGCAAACCCTGGATGTAGACACTGCCCCCAGGAGCCGCCTGCAGTCTAGGACAGACACACTGACCTGACAGATGTACATAGAGCTGGCAGCATACTGGGTGAGACACTTTAAGACAGAAGTAGCTGTTTCTCCCTTCGTGCCCTAGGACAGGCCTGAATTTGTATGGCCTGACCTTGAATACATTCAGCTCTAGCCTCATACTAAAGCAAGCCCATTTGCCCTTTGTCTTAGACTCAGTTCACACGCACACACAGACACACACACACACACACACACACACGCACACACACAAACAGCGCAGGAGAGACTTGCCTTTCTGACTAGAGAGCTGTGGAGGCAGCTTCAAAGTGCCCCTCTCCCCAAGTAAGTGCCCAGAGAGGAGGGTCTGCTGCTCAGAACCTATTTCCTTGTTTGGGAAAGGTCTTGAGGGCCCAAAGCCAGGGAGCTCCCAGGGATGAGGAGCTGCAGTCCCAGGAGTGGTGCCCAGTTGTCATTCTCAGGGGCCTGGAAGGCTTAGAACTAGATTTGGCAGTTCATCAAGGCTGCCCAATACACGTGAAACCAAAAGAACACAGCAAGATGGCACTGCCTCCTGGCCGACTGAAATGTGCTGCCCACACAGTAGAGATGGGGCAATTAGGAAGTGGACCAATATGATGGTCTGAATTTACAGGCTCCACGTAGCATGGAGCCCTGAACGTCAGAGTCCTGTTAAGGCTGAAGCCTGTGTTCTGGGGATTGCTGGTATCGAAGCGGGTGTCTCAGGGCAGCTGGTGCAGGAAGGGAAGGGATGAGAGGGAACAGCTCCCCAATTCGTGCCGTCCGGATCTACTCCTCAGCTTTAAAAAGTCAAGTTTTTTCAGAGCATTCTTCCCAAATGTATTTTTTTTTAATTTTTGACGTTTATTTTTTGAGAAACAGAGCATGAGCGGGGGAGGGGCAGAGAGCCAGGGAGACGCAGAATCCCAAGCAGGCTCCAGGCTCTGAGCTGTCAGCACAGAGCTCTCTCTACACGGAGCCCAAACTCACAAGCTGTGAGATCATGACCTGAGCTGAAGTTGGATGCTTAACCAACTGAGTCATCCAGGCGCCCCTTGTCCTAAATGTATTTTTCAGAACTCCACAAAAGTTCTCCACTGAAAATTAAATTCAGTTAAATAATCTGAAAACCACAGATTCTATGTCAAACCCTCTCATTTCACAGACAAAGAAAAGGACCCAGAGAAGTATATCCATTTGCCCAAGGACACACAGCTCCTCAATGGCAGAGGCAGAACTAGAAATCAGGAAGCAAATCTGAGCTCAGGCCTAGGCATGAGGGCTGAAGGGTGGGCTGTTCCTGCCCAGATATTTTTAGGGCTTCTCCTGCTGCCAGAGAGTCTCAGGAAAGTTCAGTTCCTCCTGGCCTTAGACCAGGGAGACACCCAAGAGACCTCAGAGGAAGTTGCCTCTATTACTGCCTGATGGCCTGTTTCCCTTAACCTTGGTGAGGGCCCGGTTCAGGCCATTGTGGGAATGGCGATCACCCCCGTAGGCCATAGGCCCTGTGACTTGTAGGTAGCGAGCAATATTCGCCTCCAATTCACGACAACAGCACCCTTAGAGGTTGACCACACAGGATTTAGGGGTCAGACAAGCCTGGGCTCACACTGGAGCTCTACTTCTGACCAGCCATATGATCTGGGGCAAGTTACTTTACCTGTATGAGCCTTGTTTTCCCCATCTATAAAATAAAGTACAATGATATCTCCTCCGGAGGTCATTGTCAAGGTTATAGGGGATGAGGAAGGTAGAACGCTTAGTAAAGAGTCTGGCACCTGACAAGTACTCAGCAGATGGCAGTTATCGTTAATACAGGTGTTATAGTTCTACAGCAGAGTAACCATCATACTAAATGAAAAGAAAATTCATTGGCTTTGGAGCAAATTTGGGGAAGGTTGGGGCCACCTGTGAGAAGGTGACTTTTAAATGTGATTCCTTTCGAGGTCAAGACCACAGGATAGGGTAGATTTCCACTTAAACGGTTTCTCTGGGTTTTCAATGTTTTTTTATTACTGTGACTTAGAGTAAGTGTATATACCTTTATATACATATGAAACAAGTGTCACAAAAAATTTTTAGCCTGTGTGTGATGTCCAGTGATATTTTTTAGTCGATTCTATTCAATTCCATATATTTTTTAAAATACTGGTGATGACTCACTAAATTTATTCCATAACCTGCTAATGGATTTCAGTCTGTAGTTAGCAACATACACTTTTAAACTACTGGTCTCAAACTGCAGTGTAAAATCTGAGTTAAATATTTAGATCAGTAGACTCATCCCATAGAGAATCTGAGGAAAGGTTGGGAATCTGGGTGTTTAATAAGTACCCAAACAGTTTCTGAGGTGAAGGGCCAGTGACCCACACACTGGGCAGTGCTGGCCTCTAGCCAGGCTGGCAGGTGCCCATCGGGAAGCTGCTTGCCAACAACACTGATGGGTCAACCTCCCTTTTAGGAGTTCACAAGGTCACCACCACCCCCCTCCACCACCCACATCCAACCCAGCAAGGGCCAGATGCGTTATGGACGGGTTAGGAGGGCAAGCCAGTGTGGAGCAAGTGAGGGTGAGAAGAGAAAGGATTCTCACCCTGTAGACTGCTGATCTGATTGGTCCCTTGCCCCCTGAAATATAATCCTCCTGTTTATAGTGTCCACAGCTAAGGAGCATGATGGACACTTTACAGAAGAGGAAACTGAGGCTCCTGTGACTTGCCCAGGTCACACAGACGGTCAGAGTAGATTCTGTGCTTTCAGCCAAACTGCTGTACCAGCTCTGTGTTGTGAGAGGCACAGAGACCCTGGTCTGAGGTGACAGGCGCTGCCTGTGGGCACTAGGCGTGACAGGACACTGTCTCCCCCCACCCCTGCACCTGTGGTTGCTAAGCAGCCACGTGAAGGTCCACGTCCCTGGGCAGCAGCTCCCGGTGACGGGGCCTGGGACCATGGTGCCGATGAAGAACTTGATCTTGTCCACGTTTGTTTTCTGTTCTCACCTCCCCTCTGACTTCACCGTCTGTCCACCACCCTCAGTTGTCCCTTACGAGATCATCCTCTACACGAGTGACGTCTTTGCTGCCGGGACGGACGCCAACATCTTCATCGTCATCTATGGCTGCGATGCAGTGTGCACCCAGCAGAAGTACTTGTGCACCAACAAGAGGGAGCAGAAGCTGTTCTTTGAGAGGAAGTCAGCCTCCCGCTTCATTATGGAGGTGCCTGGGATCCATAATGCCGGGAGGCTGCCGGGGGAGCTGGGACTGGGAAGCAGGGGGCACCAGAAGAGGGGAGGAGGCACCCTAACGGGCTGCTGTGGTGAGAGGGCCAGGCAGTTCATCCAGCCTCACTGGGCCTCACTCAGTACATCGAAATAACCAGGAGGGCAGGCACCTCACCCGGCCCCACCGGGACTACTGTCAGGATCTAAGGAGACAGTGAGTGGACAGGGCTTGAGGAAAATAGAGGCACAATCCCATTTCCACTGGGGCCACCTCCAGGGCCAGCGATAACACATGTGTATCCGTCGAGAGCTTGGCTTCTGGACATCCCAAATGGTCTCCTGCTCCCCTCTGGCCTAGGGGTTTGCTTGTTCCATGTTTACTGTAGGCGTCGGTCACAGCACCTTGGCGTCCTGTGCACTTCAGCTCAGCGTCTCCCCTGTGCTCTCCGCTGTGTGTTAGGTTGGGTGGGAGAGGTAAAAGAAGGGGAAGGCCCAGACTCTGTCTGCAAGGGGCTTGCAGTCCAGCTGGAGAACCCCAGACCTCCACACAAGGCCAACAAGAGAGAATAACTGATCCTGTGGGTAAGAGCAGTGTCACAGGGCTTTATCTCTATTAACTTGCTTAAGCCTCATAGCAGCTCTGTGCTGTTATTATCCCTGTATAAAGATGGGGAAACTGAGGTACAGAAAGTTGAATAGCTTACATAAATTCACACAGCTAGGGTATAATGGAACCAGGATTCAAACCCAGGAGTACTGGCTCAAAATATGTGCTCTTAGCCCCTGCAGGTCACTAGCCCATGGTGATGAAGGCACATGCGGGACTGATCGAGAATGCAAAGGAGGGACAAGAGGGGGAGGCATTCCTAGCAAGGGGAACATCATGGCCAAGGGCCAGAGCTGGAAATAAACACAGCATGTGGTTTGGTGGGAGGGACAGGAGGAGAGGGACATGACAGGTAGAAGACCAGCTGAAGCAAGACTTGGAGGGGACAGCTCTGAAGAGCTAAGCGGCTCACGAGGCTAGACTCTCCAGGTAGCAGGGACCTTTGGAGAAGTGCCCCTTCTGATGGGAAACAAAATCCAGAGCCCCATCCTCCTTCCCCGGCCAGTGTCTGTCCTGGGGGGCTCCCTGCTCCCTCTCCACCTCCTCTGGGAGCAGTCAGCACTTGTGGGAAGATTGCCACCTTGGTGGAGTCTTAACAAAGAAAATTCAAGGCTGATTCATTTATCCACACGAAGCGGCAGCTCATCCACCCAAGATGGCGTGGTACTGAGTCATCCAGCCCTGACTCCGTCAGCGGTGGGGCTGTGATCACACCTCGGCACGGCTTCCGTGGAGTTTTATCAATGGAATGCCCACTAACGGCAGCTATAGTTGGCCAGTAGTTTGTTGCTGTGTTTTTTTCTTTCTTCTTTTCAAATCTTTCTGGCTGCTGGGGGAGTGTGAGGGTCCGGAAACAAATGAAAAAGCTTTGTGTCTCTGTTTCTCCGTGTCTCTGTTCGGACTGGTCTTCAGGTAGGACGCAGAGGGCTGGGTCGTAAGCACATAGCCCTGCATCCTGGTTCTGGCTCTGGGCTCAGACGGAAAGTCATGAGCAAGCCACTCCCTCTCTCTGTGGCTTTGTGCTAAGACTCGGGGAGTGGCCGAGAAAATAGCAATAATAACTAGAATTTATTGAGCGCTTGCCTTGTGCCAGCCCTGTCCTGAGCCCTTCATGTGCATCAGTTCACGGAATCCTCATCGCCATTCCAAGAGTTGCTAGTACGATGATCTCTTTTTACAGCTGAACTGGCATGGGGAGGATAAGAAACTCGCTCAGGGCGTCATGATTTACAAAAGGCAGAGGCAAGATTTGGACTCCAGTTCAATTCCAGAACCTTCTCTGCTTAGCTCTTCCACCTCTTGGGAGGATGTTAAGGTTTCTTCTGATTCCGAGTCTATTCCTGAGGCCCGTCATCCATGGCTCGCGTTCCCCTGAAGGCCTCCTTGCTCCCTGAGGGTCACAGCTAAGACGGCCACCCTGACGTGGCATCCCTGACTGACTGGCTGGATGATTAAGGTTCCAAAAGTACCATTGAAGCCAAGGTCCACACATCTGGAACCTCAGAGATGGAATGGGGAAGGAAGAAAAGGGACCTCTGGACAGAGGGAGGGGCAGGGGAATCTTCACTGCCCAATGCATCTGGCAGCTCAGTGTCCGTAAGTGGACGTCCTGTGGCCACAGATTTCCCCCGCAGCTCCTGTGTCTCTCCTGTTTCGAGAAAACGAGGCCTTGTTAAAATGCCCAGAGCATGAATGTCAGCCTGAAGTCACCAATCTTTGTTCGGGGATCAGAATGGCCCTCAGGGGATCACAGGGGACAGCGCTTCTCTGGTGAAGTGAGAGTGAGCTGGCTGGAGGGGGTGGGGGGCTGCGCTGCAGGCAGCAGAACCAACCTCAGTGGCAGCACCCTTGTCGAGTCACGCAGGCTCCAGCAGTGACGTGCCATGCTGGTCACTTGGAAGGAGAGACGAGGTGACAGAACCATGGCTGTGATCTTAGACCTGGAAGTGACCTCAAGGGGTCACCCCACCCACGCCCCTGCCTTCAGCTGAGTAACACATGACTCCCCCCATTTTATAGAGAAGAAAGTTGGGGCCTGGAAGGTCAAGTGCCTTGCCTCAGATGATACAGGTGGTAGGTGGGAGCACCGTGGCTACAACTGGGAAGGATGAGGGTGGAGACAGGAGTGCGGGCAGGTCCCCCAGCAGGGCTGATGGGCCCGTCCTTGGCTGCCAGCCGTGGGTGGGTGTGTGGGGAAGAAGGAAACCAGTGGTTGGAAGCTGTTCCGTTTCGTTCAGAGGTCACCTCCGTGTGCGGTTATAGAGGCTGTGCATTTGATGAATGACTTAATCTATCATTCAGATGCCGTTCCCTCATCAAAAGCCCTTGCCTGCCGTGGAGCTGACTCTGCTGTCTCCTAGCACTGAGAACTTGATGGTGCCGGCCAGGCGGCCAGCTCCGTAGAGAGGCTTCGAGGACACTCCAGTCAGCACATCCCCCCTTGCCTTGTGTCTGGCTTCTTTAAGGGATGTGGAAGGATCAGGGCATCAGTCATTCCTGACAAGAGTCCCTCCCCTGCACCCTGTGCCATAGGCTCCAGGCAGGAGAGACAAGACATGGTGTCTCCTGAATTTCAGACACAAGCATCAGCTTTTCCATTCAGTGAGTCTTCCACACGTACGATCATGGTTAAGGTCAACATTGCACATGACAGAACCTGACTGATACTGTCACACCTGTTTTTCAGATGAGGAAACATTCTTTCATCCTTTCAGCAAAGGTATCCTGAGTTCTGGGGTTCACAGGCTCTGTTCTAGGTTTTAAGGATAGAATGATGGGCAAGGACAGGTGCAGTGCCTGCCCTTGTGGCTTTCAGTGGTAGAGAAGACGATATTACACAAATGAAGGCAAACTTCTGACTGTGAGAAGTGCAGGGGAGAGGGGTGCTATGGGATGCTGTAAGAGCTTCTCATGAAGAGATTTGAGTTTCTTGAGGTGGTGAGGGGGGCTTCCCTGAGGAAGTGATCCTTGATCTGAGACCTGAATGATGAGGTTGAGGTTTAGCTAAAGAAGAGGAGAGTGGAAGAGCAGGAAGAGCCTGTGCAAAGGTCCTGTGGCAAGAGAACATCAAGTCTGAGGGACTGGAATTTGAAGGATATAGAAGAGGGGTAGCTGGAGACAGAGGGGCCCTTAGGGGCCAAGGAGAAGGTCAGGCTGACAAGACAGGGCATGGGCAGAACCAGAATTGCTCTTCTGAAACCCAAATCAGTTCTCAAGCAGGGAATGAACTACCACAGTGGTAAGTAATGGAAGACAGAGAGGTGGACTCCACCATGAGAAGGAGAACAGCCTCCCAGAGGTTGATGGAACTGCGTTCTGGAATCTAGGCTGATTTTAAGTGGGGAGAGAGGAAGGGAAGCATGAGCATGGTGTGTGGAGAGGAGAGTGGGGGCGGGCTTGGCTGGACAGTGGGGGCATACTGGGAGAAAGCGGCCCCTGGAAGTTCAAAGGGACTCAAGAGTGGATGCTCTGGGCAGACAGTATGTTGCTGAGTTTTACTTTCCTGAACTTTTCTACTACCATCTGGTGCATTTTCTCCTTTCCACAGTTAGAAGATGTAGGGGAAATCATTGAGAAAATTCGGATCGGCCATGACAACACAGGCATAAATCCGGGGTGGCACTGCTCCCACGTGGACATCCGCAGGCTCCTCCCTGATAAAGATGTGAGTTTCTGACCAATCTGTCCTGCTGTTTCTTTTGCCCCTTTCCAGCGGAGATTCAAGGCGGATTCCTGATAAGAATCTGCAGCCTTATTAAGTTGAGGTAAAATCTGAGGACAGTTCACCCAGTTCACTCAGAGTACAGGAACCAGCTCAGGTCCAGGACAGAACCTTTTAGAACCTGGTTTAAGGGTCAAGGAGGAGCGTCTGGGCAGCCCCGTCTCTGTGCCCCACCCCCAGGGCCACATTACTGAGTGACCCTCAGTATGTGAGTGACCGAGTATGCCCTTCCCACTGCTCAAAGTCAACTCACAGAAAAAAACTCACCAGAATAACTTGGCAAACATCCTGAAGCCACACAGTTCTAAACGTGGAAGGCAGGTTTCAATTGTGGCTGTGGTTGAGTGACCTGAGAGCAATTTAAAAATACAGAGCCCCTCCCTTTACCCACTGAATCTGAGTCTGTGGGATGAGGTTCTGATGCCTTTTTTTTTTTTTAATTTTTTTTAATGTTTTTTATTTATTTTTGAGACAGGGAGAGACAGAGCATGAACAGGGGAGGGTCAGAGAGAGGGAGACACAGAATCCAAAACAGGCTTCAGGCTCTGAGCCGTCAGCACAGAGCCTGACGCGGGGCTCAAACTCACGGACTGCGAGATCGTGACCTGAGCCGAAGTCGGCCGCTTAACCAACTGAGCCACCCAGGCGCCCCACTGGTGCCTATTTTTAAGTTACCCTGGGAACCCCACCGTCAAGAGCCAACCCCCGATGTGGTTGTTGAAGTCTTTGAATATGACTGGATATACTGGCCTCCCTTGGTGGCTTTTGCATTATCTGTGGGGCTCAATGACCCTTGTCATTGGTCCCCATGAGTGTTGACATGCTGATGAATCACTGAAGTCAGAAGGTTCCACACAAAGGGCTAATTTTCCTCTTGCCTCCTCACCCCAGGGCACAGAGACCTTGACTTTCCCTTGTGACCGATGGCTTGCCACGTCAGAAGATGACAAGAAGACCATTCGAGAACTGGTTCCTTATGATATCTTCACTGAGAAATACATGAGAGATGGGTCCTTGAGGCAAGTCTACAAGGAAGTGGAGGAACCTCTAGACAGTAAGTGTGATGCCCTCCTCACGGTCAGCAGCAGCCCTTCCTTGTAGGGCACCTGCCCCGTGCCAGGCTGAGTCTTTGCACCCCAGAAGGCAGGGTCTGTTATTATCCCCACTCCGTAGAGAGGGCACCTGGGGCCCACAGAGGTTGCCTAACCTGCCCAGGTTCACACAGCTGATAAATGGCAGGCTCTTCTTCAGGGTCCCGGCTGTGTCACTGCATGTCTTTCCGTGGCCTGATGGTGACACTGCATCCCATGTGTGCTCTGTGCCTGGATTCTCCTGATCCTTGTGGCCTCCCTCCTCTTCGTTTACTCACTACTCCTCTGCAAGGCTTGGTCCTCTCTGCCCTCACAGGATGCGTATGATTCAAGAAGCATCCTGGACTGCTTTGTGTGTGCACGCGAGTGTGTGGGCACGCCCTTACACAGGCACGCATTCCTCCTGGACGACAGGGATAGTCACACCTCTTTTTTGAGCAGCAATGCCACTGTCCTGTCAATCCCCAGGTTATTCAGTCAGCCCTAAATAAGCTTTAGCTGTATCAAAAATCAAGTTTCCTTGCCAAAAACAAGCTTTCTACCACTGGAGAGGTACAAAATACCACAGGCTCCCCATGGGGGCGGTCTGCATGGATCAGAGATGCCCCGAAGGCTTGGAGACTCGGCTCATATATGTTGCCTTGCATTCCTTCTGGAAAAAACTGGACTAAAATCCAAGATTCCCGGCCCCAGATGGAACCAGGGGGATGTAAACCAGCTATAGCTCTAACATTTCCTTTGATCTCAGTCGCCACTCGGTTGGAGATAAAAACAAGCGTTGCCTCCGCAATGTGCCTTTCCCTACCCAAATCCCTTTGCTGTTAAATCTGGAGGAAAATTCCCTCTTCGACTTGGGTCCCAGAGGATGCCCTGGAAAGCTGTCCCAGCGGCACACTCGGGCTGTTCTGTATTAATAACATGCCACAAACCCACTCGGTGCCTGGCGATGTTTCTAGGGAAACATCTTTCCACCAAGAGCCGTGTGGCTTGGGTGGGACAAGGGAGGGAGGAGGATCCAGAAATAGCCGGGTTTGACTGCACAACTGCATTGCTCAGCGCCCAGAAGCGGAGTCAGCGTTCCATTCCCCAAGGACTGGAAAGAGCAGTGGGGGTGCAGGAGGGGGAGAAGGAGGGCCATCCATCCACAGCCCCTGGTGACACAGCACCCCACTCTGGGATGAGGGCTCCTAGCAAAGGTCCTACCTCAGTGTGGAGCAGGGCTGAATGCACGGCTGGGAAGTGGAGGCGGAGAAAACATGAAGGGGAGGACAGTCGATTGTGTCTAAACTGTGACAGGATTCCTAATGTCACCTCATGTCAGTGTCAGCCAGACAGACTTGGGTAATGTTGACGCTCAAACACCAAAGAGAAGGTTTTATTTATTAATGCAGCACATGAAATGCTTGACAGATGCCGTGCTGAGCTGAGCGAGGTAGGGCCCGAGGGCAGTGGGCCTGGTTCTGGTTCCCGCCCTGGCTGAGGGGGCAGGCTCTGGGGAGCTGTGCTCACGGGGCACCTCGGAGGTCAGAGGTCGGCAGAGCAGAGCACTGGGCAGGGAGGGTGGCTGGGGAAAAGGTTTGGAGAAGGGGCTTGCGGGAGGGGGCTGAGCTCAGGTTTGCATGTGAGTTTGTGACATCTAGTCAAGGCGGACGTGTCCCCCAGGTGACAAGGCTGTGGATCCAGGGCATAGGAGGGAACTGGGTTGGAGACACAGGCTCGGGGAACTCAGAGAGGTCAATACCCAAAGCATGCAGGAAGGGAGCTGAGGGAAGCGGACAGAACCAGGCATCTGGGGGGCGGGAAGAAGATTAGGAACCCGGAAAGCCGCTCCAGAAGGAGCGATCAGAGAGGCAGATGGAGAGCAGGAGAGAATGATGCTGTGGAGTCCAAGGGAAAAAGAGGAAAATAATAGGAACCACTCTGTGGGCGTGAACGTGTTCCATAACCATGGGTATGAGTAACTCACATCATCTTCCTTTTTTTGATTTAATTAAATGTGGTCTGAGCCCACTTTGCAGGGGTTGGTGAGAAAGTCCATCTCCGTCACTGCAGGGAGCGGGGGATCCCTCTTTTTCGGCTTCATAAGAATCCTGAGCCTCACAGGAGGGGCCTGGCCCTTAGTCCAGGGCGGGTACCACCGACACCTATGTCCTCCCAACACATGGTGACGGTTGGTTGCTGCTGGTTCTCCGCAGACACGCGGGTCGGCATTTCTCTGTGTGGCCAGAAACACTTCAGCTTCATCATGAGACCCTCTCTCTGGCCATGAGGCCTCCTTGCTTCAATTTCCCAGATAACCACCTCAGCCTTCTCCCTGCGGGGACTCTGTGTGCAGATGAGGGGTTCCCGCCACCCAAGCAGACTCCCGAACCCTCACCCCCACGCAGGCTAGGGAAACCAACCTTCCTCCAGGCTGGCCACTCCTGCCCTTCACCTCAAAGCCACAATCTCCATCCCTCCCCTTGGGGATAATCTGGCTAAGTCCCCTCTTCCTTGGCCTGAAACTCCAAAGCTTTTAGGACAGAGGAATATGGAGAGGGGACAGAGAATTCTTAGCCACATAAAAATGCACTTCTTGCCTTTCCCCTAGGGGTGGAAGTTGGAAAAAGAGATACTTTATTCTTCCTGGATGAGCCCGCAGCAGCAAAACAAAGACAAGACAGCATTTGTTTTTATTTTCATGAATAACTTTTAATAACTATGGCACCAGTATTTATCCAGCCCTTCCCATGGGCCATGGGAGCTGAAGAAGAGGGTGTCAGTCACTGGGGCAGGTGCTGGATGGCAGGGAGTTGGAGAATAAAGGAAAATAAAGAAATGGGGCAGCTGGGTGGCTCAGTTGGTTAAGTGTCTGACTCTTGATTTCAGCTCAAGTAAATAAATATTTTTTAAAAATCAGGAAATGGACACTATGGGGAAGCTATACTTTCAAAAACATTTGATTTTTTTCTAAAAACCACTTAGAAGGAACTGGCATGGATACTAGTCACCCTCAAGTAGGAAGGCATATTATTTTTTTAATTTATATTTATTTTGAGAGAGAAAGAACAAGAGCAGGGGAGGGGCAGAGAGAGAGAGAGAGAGAGAGAGAGAGAGAATCCCAAGCAGACTCTGTGCTGTCAGCACAGAACCCAACTCAGGGCTTGAACTCATCAACCGTGAGATCATGACCTGATCTGAGATCAAGAGTAGGATGCTCAACCGACTGAGCCACCCAGGGGCCCCGGGCAGGCATATTGTTGTCCGTGTGTCAGGGAAGGTAGATTTAGTGACCACAGCGTGCACACACGTCAGGCAGTCTCTGGCATCTTCCCCCGCTGGAAGCACAGACAGCTGGATGGGTGGATGGCTTGAGGGCTACGGGGAGGAACCTCCATCCTCTGGGTCTTAGGGGCCACCTGTGTCCAGATCAGATGGGCAAACTTCCCACTGGTGAATCTGCAGATTTGTAGCAGAAGGTCCATAATTGACCAAATAAAAGGAAGACACTAACGCCTCCTCGAGATGTGGGCCAGGAGCTAAAGGAGCTCGAGATGTGGGCCAGGAGCTCCTGTGGGCCAGGAGCTAAAGGATTCCTTTAATCCTAAAGCCAATGCCACTCTTTTCTTCCCTTTGTCTGTCTGTCTGTCTGTCTGACTGCATGCCCAGTTGTGCTGTACTCGGTGCAGATCTTTACAGGAAATGTTCCTGGGGCAGGGACGGACGCTAAGGTCTACATCACCATCTATGGAGATCTGGGGGACACTGGGGAGCGGTACCTTGGCAAGTCAGAGAACCGCACCAACAAGTTCGAGAAAGGAACGGTATGCGGGGCACACAGAGTTTTTACCCCCTTCCCTTCCCCTCCGGGGTCCAGGTGTCTGGGGGCCAGCTCTTGGTCCCTGAAGCTGTCTGTGAACCTTGTGGGGTGTCAAGCTCCCTCATGTGGGCGGTTGGCCTTGCACTTCTCCCTGCAGAGCAGCTGGTCCCCTCTCTGAGCCTGTGCATGGGCCCTGGGCCCTGCATCTGGGGTGGAGGTAGACCAGAGGGTAGGGTTTGGGCAATGAGAAGCCTGTTTGAGTTGGCTGTACTGGGGCGGGGCGGGGGGGGGGGATGCTGGTCGTCATCAGAAAATCCAGCCCACTATGGGCGGATCATGAGCATGGGGGTGAACATCAGAGTGGCAGGGGCTGGAGGCCTGCCTCTCCTGTCAGCTCCTCATCTGGTTGAACCTGTGTGGACTTGGTTTCTCCATCTGTAAAATGAGGAGCCCGGTGTGAATCAGCTGAGGGGTGTTGTGCAGAGCTCTGGGCAGAACTGAGGCCCATGGGAGCCACGGAGGGATTAGAGGAGCAGACAAGTACCCCGCTCTCCCAGCTAAGGTCCGCTTTGACCTGAACTATCTATGGAAGTGCCAAGAAAGTGCTCTATTAGGCAGAGGGCTCTGACCTGCTGGGGTTTTAGGAAAAGGAAGACCTCTGTCCCAGTTTCTCTTCTCAGCCCCTCGACTTCCCTCCTCTCCCCACGGTAGCTCTGCTCTCTCCCAGGCCCTTTCTGCCTTACCCCCTTCACACAGCCTCAGCCTCTTTGCCTTCACTCCATTCACCTAAATCTGCCAGAACTCCCCACAGACCAGGCTGTAGCTGCAAGGTGATCAGAGCAAGGTAACCCGATCTGTGGTCTTGCCTTTGGCTATGCACATGCAGGGGTTTCCTGTACTGAGCAGTGGGTGTTTAGTAGGGGTCTGTTTAAGCCTGACTCTCAGCCAGGCATGATCCTTGGCACTGAAACATTTCCTACTTGTGAGGAGGAAATGAGCTCTGGAGCAAGGATAGCAGGTGTCGTCTAAGCGGGTCTGCGGCCATCTGGTGACCTCATGGGCCCCGCCATCTGGAAGGAGTCCAGCCTTGGCCTCAAGGTCCCGGGGAAGTCAGGCCCTGGTGCTCCCATCCATTTGTTCCATCATCCAGATAGGAACCATTGACTTTTAGCTTTGGTTTACTGCTTTGGAAGTGGGAGTAGCAGTATGATAGCTACTTAGACCCCTGGGCTGAAAAACAGGACAAGAGATGTAAGAACACTTTGTATCAGGGAGAAATAATTTCACACACACACACACACACACACACACACACACACGCGAGATATAATGGTTTGCTGCACCAGTAAGGTAGCTACTAGGAGGCCTATCCATTTTGGGGAAAAACGGAATACAGAGAGGTACACTTAAGTGGCTCACGCGATGTCCCGGAC